GAAAAGAATGCTTACGAGGGAATGACTCCTTGAGGGCTGACACTCATGAAAACAGGGTCTTCTATCCTCCAGACTTACAAATGATCCTCGAATCGTTAATGCTGTGACACACGAAACAGCAATCACAACACCAACATTCCAGGATTAATACTCACTATGTGATGGTACAGTTGTTATCACCGAGTGTGACTGCAGTGTCGTCTCTGTTCCCAATACTCAGACTGCTACCACTGATCACAACTTCGATTCCTCCTGATTTCGGGCCAAATGCAGGATCAACTCCAGTTACCCGAGGTTCTTCATAAGAGTACGCAGCTCTGACCACCTCTGTACTTGATTCACGTTGAATGAAAACTTCCAACCTATAATTTCCATCTGAAGTCACACTCGGAGTCTCACATGCTATCCGTCGGCCTACATCATATGTATTTTCCCCACTCAGTGTACAGTTTACATCAACACCGCCCAATTGAAGTCTAACGTTCCCTATATCATCATAAGAGGCTCCAAGATCAGTGCCAGAGATGTTAACAAGAGTCCCTCCAGCTGTGGGTCCTCTGTTGGGCTGGACTGAGTCAATTCTCGGCGGAGGACACATGGCAGTTGTGGTGGAGAAAGTAGCACTGCATTCTTCCATCACTGAACACTCATCAGAGCACCAGCCACATGTAAACCCAGCCTCATTTCTCCCAAGACAAGATGAGCAACTAGTCTCCAACTCATTACAGTCGTAGAGAATACCTGTATACATCAAACAAGCAAAACGATATTTTTTCTGATCCCATCAAACTCACACTTGATTCTATCAGGTGAATTCCCATTGAGAGGATAGGAGACTGCATCGTTGGTCCATATCAACTCTAGAGATACTGTCTGGTCACCGGACGATATTTGAAGGACCTAACGCAGAGACAAATGGAGATAATAGAGTGCAGTGTTCATGTATTTACCCCCTCCGATATGATGCATGTTACAGTATCTTCTGCAATGTTGAGACTTGCGTGAAAAAGCTGGCCATTTACAGTGCACTCGTAATGGAAACTATCCACCTGCAGAATAATGAACTATGCCAAACGTCACATGACATTAGCTATATGCTCACAAGAGAGGGCAGGTTGCTGGTGTGTAGTACCAGATCTCTTGCCACATTGACTGGTTGAGTATAGTTTCCAGTTGTCGGGGCTTCATTTACAACAGGACACACGTCAGTTGGTCCAGAGCTGGTACCAAGCTGTGAGGTGAAAATTAGGCGAATTGCTCATTGTTTCCCACATGACTGAGAGCTCACTGTGAGATATGAGTTGTTCACTCATTCAGGCACGGGACAAGGGTCTGATATCCCACTGCAAATTCCTCCATACAGACACCAGCCACAGGCTCCCTCTGTATCCAGACAATCAACACAACTGAGGGAAGAACAAGACACGAAACTTGACCAAGACGCTCATTACCATGCAAACCTACCAACCTTTTAGCTGCACTGCAGTTGTAGATTGTGAGGGCATTTTGACTGGTAGCAAATGGTACGCCAACTTCAACAGTGACAAAGCTGAAGTGGGTAACTGTAGGAATGAAAAAGCATGATCTCGGTGCAAGTTTGAGGTTTTGTATCTATCTCACCTTGCTTGACTGAGTCCAGAGAAGTAGCTACATTAGTGATATTACACTGGTACTCAGTGCCTGCTACAAACTCAACAGCAGGGACCACTAGTGGAAACTTCTCTCCAGGGGCCGAGAATGAGCAATTGTATGTCAAATTCTCTGGCAGGGGTGAGGTGGCTGTCACATCCAACTGGATAGGAAAAAGTTTTTCAAAGTTGTTGAAATGTAGGTACAAGTTGTTTCGCTCACAATGGTGGGAGAGTCCAGAATGAACTGGGCTGGAGAGACAGACGTGGAGATACACTCACTGGAGCTCTGCACCCATCTCCCTGGCTGAGAGCTGTCGAGACACTGAGACCTCCGAGAACACTTGTCCTCCACTGTACACCAGCCACACAGAGGAAATGAGTCTTCCTCTGTGCACTCCACACATGACGATGACTCTGAGCACGTCTCCAGAGGGTACAGAAAGACCTATGGCACATGATAAAAATGAATAGCTATATGGTGAAAATATTTATACGTACCTGGTTGTCTGTGGTAATAGTTATGTTGTCTGATCCGTCTTCCCAGCCAATGTCTTGCACTGATGGGACATTATCAATTGTTTGCAACAGAGAACCAGTTGGACTATTAGTATCTCCATTCTCCGTGTTGACCGCCACAGTATTATTGCCGCTGTTCGGAGGCACGTCCAACGAGTAGCTCGCCAACTCTAGCTGGCCAATGCTCCCCTGCAGCGCGCAGAGTAGAAAAAACACTCTTCCTACGAACCTAACGCCCATCTCTCTTCTCCTACCGAAACTTGACTGACACAACGTACGTAGATCGATCGACCGACCGTACCGTACACCGGAAGCAGCATGCAATGACAATTGCGCATGCGCAGCCCCGGAGCGCTGCGCTGCTCAATTGCTTGTCAATTCAACTAGCTTTGATTGTTGCAAGCAGCATTATTTTATTTCCTGTCTATTATACTAGTATAGAGTGAGTTCTCTAAATCATACGCAGTACAGAGTCACTGTTTATAAACGTTATTCTTGATCTGTAGAGTATATTTAGGGGGTTGTTTTGTCATGACCACCTTCACTTGATCACAACCTTTGTACCATAGCTAGGATTAGGATCGACCCAAATCTCCTCCTCAGCTGAAAAAGAGCAGTATTAATAATATAATAGGTCACACAATATCAGTATCTAGATCTTACCAGCTTCATATGGTACAGGTTCCATCACCTCATACCCAGTCCAGTCCCCCTCCTCCTCCCCAAGGCCTAGCTTCTCCAGAGTCATGGAGAGCTCCACATAGCCAGCCACTGGCAGGAGGGTCTTGTCCACTCTGACCACCAGGTCACTGAACCTCAGTCTCTCATCTGGAGCCAACTTCCAGCACCTCTTCATCACCGAATACCTGGATTGTATCCAAATAAAAATTTAGCTGGGATCCATTTTTCTCTCCTAAAAAACCAATCCACAATTAACCTACTGTAGTTCCTTTTCATAACAACAAACCGTCAACAGTTGCTCAAAATGTGTGTGTTGAAGGAGTGTTCTGGGAAAAACTAACAGATCTGGTGAAGATCCTTACATTTCAGGAGAGCATGCGGTATTGTCAGGATACTCTAAACGATGTCCTTCCTTCAGCATCCGCAGTAGAGTCGGGGGGTCCAGAGCTGGATATGGGGTCTTACCAACCGTGAAGATCTCCCAACATGTCACTCCATACGACCACTGCATAAGTCAAAGTGCGTATTATAGGAGTTTCCGACAATGCAGTTTTCATTTCTCACCACATCACTCAGTTCAGAAAAGAGGGCGTCTTCCAAGCTCTCCGGAGGCATCCATTTGTAGGGGACCTTGACAGTCTTATTGTCTTCTCTCACGTAGCCTGTGCTGTAGATATCCTCCGCCAGACCAAAGTCACCAACCTTCACACAACCACTATGGTCCAACCTGCACAACAGTGTTAAAGTATATACATTACTTAGTATGCAAGCTATTCTGAGCTGCCAGTGTGTACTATGGACAGGCAGTATCTCACATGCAATTTCTTGCAGCCAGATCTCTGTGCACAAACTTCTGCTCTACCAGATACTCCATTCCTTTAGCTATCTCCAGACACATCCTCATGAGCAGCTTGCGAACTGGAACAATCTGACACAAGAATGACGTAAAATTTGAAAAGCAACAATATTTACCTGTTCAATTTCAGCATCTTCATTAAGCAATAGTGTCCCTCTCTCTTTCTTCAGGTAGCTCAGGATGCTACCATTTGCCATAAAAGGCATGACCACACCCACTCCAGAATCAAGGCACACTCCAATCAGTGGCATGACGTGACGATGTTTGAAATCTTTCATCTTCACCACTTCCTGCAAGATCTGTTGCACATCATTGGCTGAAAACAACCCTAGGAGGGAAAGTTGTGCTGAATAAACTGGCTCTTACATAAAGTTATGTACCTCTAAGTGTCTTGACAGCCACAGCACGCTGCTTTTTAAGCCCAATTAGGTATGCCTTATACACCTCACCAAACTCTCCTGTGGAGCATGCATGGATGAGCAAACCAAGGTGTGTACCGAGCCTGACCATGTCCAACACTGTCCAGCAGACGGAGTTGACTACCAGGAATGTGCAGTCTCTGCGGTATTAACTTTTTCAGTTCTTCCCGGGCCATATCCATTGCTGGAATAATTTGTTAGTACAAACCAAAATCATCAGTTAGAAGGAAATATTAACCTGCTCCATCTCCAGCCTCACTAGAAGGAAATACTGGTAGAAAAAAGAAGTTAAGGGCAGATCTTGTCAACATAAACAATACCTCCTTTCGTCTCAACCATCTGTTGATGAGCAAAACGATTGGCAAGCAGAGTTTCGTTTGCCGAAGTCTTTCTCTTGAAGACGACAAATAGAACCAAGATGAGTATAACGGCCCCACTCAGAACCACGAGGACACTTGTAACAGAACCAACAATGGCTCCAGTGTTTGAAGCTCCTTCTTCACTTGGACTAGTTTCTCCTTCGTTACTCTTGTATGTCACTGTACCAATTTCATACCTCAAATTTTGGCCAACCATAACCTGTAAAAACGAAAAGATTTGAAATGACAATAGTAAATGATTTTGCATTACAATAACTTTGGCATCGTTAACTCCATTCGGAGGATCCCTTGGTACAAAACATGTGTACTGTTGAGACATAGGAAAGAGATCAAAATTATTATACAGAAAAGCTCAACTCACCGCATCTGCAGCTTGATCTTCTGTTACTATGGCTTCACACACCTCTCCTCCAACTGTCACGTGTATATCGCTTCTATCTACACTGTCTAGGAACATCCCCTGGGGAGGATTTAATAAACATAGAATCAGGCAAGGAAAGAGAGTACGTCAACTCACAGAGATGGTGAGAGGAGCCCCAGAGCCAGGGGAGAACTCTGTCTGAGAGAGAGCAGTGCCGTCTTCTGGGAACACTGGGTCAGGTCGTGACTCAAGTGTCAACTCTGCTCTTGTTCTGTTTGGGCCAGGAGCATCTCCAAATCTCACGGCGTAGCTGATATTTGTCAGATCTGGGTTCCTGAGTGGTGAACCTTGGGAGACTGCAGATCATTGTGTTACCCTCTGTTCCATTACACCGTCCAACCTCCTGCAATGAGTATACAGCAAATGCTATACAATGCTCAACATACACCTTTACCTCCGTTGAACTGGACAGCCTTGCGTCAGTATAAACAAACACGGGTTCGACCACAACATCAAAGTTCATTCCGGTGAATGTTAAATTAATACCACCCCTGCAATGTAAAAGTAAATGCAATATAAATGCAACATGCTTATTGTAATTGTGTGAAAAAGGCTGCTTACGCGGGAATGACTCTTTGGGGGCTGACACCGATGAAAATGGGGTCTTCCTTGAAATCAAACCCCACACCTTCTCTACTGACATCAGCATCGTCAATCATAACCACTACAGCTGCTAACACTGCTTCAGAAATGTTGTTTCCTTGAAACCCTCCAGACTTACAAATGATCATCGAATCGTTAATGCTGTGACACACGAAACAGCAATCACAACACCAACATTCCAGGATTAATACTCACTATGTGATGGCACAGTTGTTATCACCGAGTGTGACTGCAGTGTCGTCTCTGTTCCCAATACTCAGACTGCTACCACTGATCACAACTTCGATTCCTCCTGATTTCGGTCCAAATGCAGGATCAACTCCAGTCACCCGAGGTTCTTCATAAGAGTACGCAGCTCTGACGACCTCTGTACTTGATTCACGTTGAATGTAAACTTCCAATATATATTTCCATCTGAAGCCACGTACTGAGTCTCACATGTTATCCGTCGGCCTACATCATATGTATCTTCCCCACTCAGCGTACAGTTTACATCAACACCACCCAATTGAAGTGTAACGTTCCGTATATCATCATAAGAGGCTCCAAGATCAGTGCCAGAGATGCTAACACGAGTCCCTCCAGCTGTGGGTCCTCTGTTGGGCTGGACTGAGTCAATTCTCGGCCGAGGACACATGATAGTTGTGGTGGAGAAATCCTTACTGCATTCTTCCATCACTGAACACTCATCAGAGCACCAGCCACATGTAAACCCAGCCTCATTTCTCCCAAGACAAGATGAGCAACTAGTCTCCAACTCATTACAGTCGTAGAGAATACCTGTATACATCAAACAAGCAAAACGATCTTTTTCTGATCCCATCAAACTCACACTTGATTCTATCAGGTGAATTCCCATTGAGAGGATAGGAGACTGCATCGTTGGTCCATATCAACTCTAGAGATACTGTCTGGTCACCGGACGATATTTGAAGGACCTAACGCAGAGACAAATGGAGATAATAGAGTGCAGTGTTCATGTATTTACCCCCTCCGATATGATGCATGTTACAGTATCTTCTGCAATGTTGAGAATTGCGTGAAAAAGCTGGCCATTTACAGTGCACTCGTAACGGAAACTATCCACCTGCAGAATATTGAACTATGCCAAACGTCACATGACATTAGCTATATGCTCACAAGAGAGGGCAGGTTGCTGGTCTGTAGGACCAGATCTCTGGCCACATTGACAGGTTGAGTATAGTTTCCAGTTGTCGGGGCTGAATTTACCACAGGACACACTTCAGTTGGTCCAGAGCTGGTACCAAGCTGTGAGGGGAAAAACAGGTGTATATCTCATTGTTTCAAACATGACTGAGAGCTCACTGTGAGATACGAGTTGTTCACTCCTTCAGGCACGGGACAAGGTTCTGATATTCTACTGCAAATTCCTCCATAGAGACACCAGCCACAGGCTCCCTCTGTATCCAGACATTCCACACAACTGAGGGAAGAACAAGACACAAAACTTGACCAAGACGCTCATTACCATGCGAACCTACAAACCTTTTAGCTGCACTGCAGTTGTAGATTGTGAGGGCATTTTGACTGGTAGCAAATGGTACGCCAACTTCAACACTGACAAAGCTGAAGTGGGTAACTGTAGGAATGAAAGAGCATGATCTTGGTACAGGTTTTAGGTTTTTTTAAATTTATAGCACCTTGTTTGACTGAGTCCAGAGAAGTAGCGACATTAGTGATATTACACTGGTACTGAGTGCCTGCTACCACTTCAATAGCAGGGACCACTAGTGGAAACTTCTCTCCAGGGGCCGAGAATGAGCAATTGTACGTCAAATTCCCTGGCAGGGGTGAGGTGGCCGTCACATTCAACTGGAACGGAAAATGTCTTTGAAATGTAGGTACAAGTGGCTTCACTCACAATGGTGGGGGAGTCCAGAATGAACTGGGCTGGAGAGACAGACGTGGAGATACACTCACTGGAGCTCTGCACCCATCTCCCTGGCTGAGAGCTGTCGAGACACTGAGACCTCCGAGAACACTTGTCCTCCACTGTACACCACCCACACAGAGGAAATGAGTCTTCTCCTGTGCACTCCCCACATGTGGCTGACTCTGAACATGTCTCCAGTGGATACAGAGACCT